CCCATTATTAACTTGGCTAAGAAGTTGTCACATCATCGTGTAGTAAGTAAAATCGTGATCATACAACAACATACATTATAACAACAGCTTTATACTATATATACAATACTTTAAGAAATGGTGTGAAAATTTATAAATAACACTAAAGCGGTACTTTTATGTTTCCCATAACTGTTGCCACCACAATGTCAACCGTTACCAATGTCAACTCCATCATTAGCAATCGGAATCTGAAGCGATAAAAAGCACTAATTTTATTCTTCATAAACAAAATTACAAATTGTGCATGTAAAACAAAACTCCAATGCAACCAACAGCTGCATTTCCACCGGAGCACACTTACGAACCCGTTCGTCACTACGTTATTAAGTTAACCACTAAATGCAAGACCCAAGACTAGAAGAGACGTATGAAAAACTTGTACAGCCCCAGAAACATTACACCAAGATCATAAGTTCAGCTGCGAAAGAAAACAAAGATTATCTGAAGAGCAGCAGAAATCAAGTTAGCATACTACATAATTAGCTGTAGATAAGATATAATTACGTCAGTTAAATATTGAGCGCTTCTGGTACGGATTTGCTTCTTGTGGTGCCATTCATAAAATATGAGAGCCAAAACAACTGAAATGTAGTAAAACCTTAAGATATTGCGCAGATTAAAACATTACAGAGCTAAGACCATTTATAATACTTATGTACACCAACAGATAAAGTCGGAATGGGTATTTATAATTAGCTCAGATACAAGCTAGAGAAGAAAGAAAAACAAATAATTAGGCCTAAAGATATTAAACAAAAGGAGAAGATAATTTTCTGAATGTTTGGGGCAAGAAAATAGAATCAAAACGTAAAAAGCGAAACTGTATTTAAATATTGTTTAAATCTTTAAGATACAAAAGAAGGAGGCAGCGAAATAGAGTAGCTATTACATAAATTATATTTGATATCATAGAACGAGCCGAAGCTAAACAAAATGTAAGCAATTTTAAAGGTTATTGAATTATTCAAATATTGAAATACATATACAATAAATAAACAGTATAGTGTATATATTAAAAAAATAAGTATTGAGAGCTATTAATTAAAATGAACATGAAAGCAAAAATTTAAAAATATTTAAGGAACGCAAGATGGCTTAGTTTAAATATTCTACTAATGTACATGGTTGGCAAATACAGACGTGAGCCATCCATCCTTGGTCGCGTTCAGGAGCCTTAGCCAGCTAGCCCGATCAGTGGTTTGCTGTAGTGAGTTGGTAGTACCGAGCATCCCCAAAATGGTTGGTCACCTGGTCGTTATACCGAAAATGCGGACAACCTATTCAACATGACAAAACAAGTTTAAGTATTTAAACTTCAGACATAAGTTACTGACAAGAAAAATTACCACGACAAGAAAAATCCTCTATCTGTTTTCCAAAACTTTCTTTTAAATATTTGCTTTCAGAAACGGAAAAAGTTGACTTTATAATTTTCTTATTTTTTTGAAATTGATTCAAGACTAAATCCTCTCATTGAGTGCTGCTTCTTCTCACGTTTATAGTAACCGACCCATATTTCGTCCACACCAAGGAGGTGATGCAGAAAATCAGTTCAAGTACGTTGATTCAGTTCCAATACATGACACTTTGACAGTTGATTCGTATAATCCAGTTTGAGCAAGCACGGCCCATTTATTACTGATGTGATAAATCGTTCAGCGGAATTTAATCAGTATACCGTGTGTTTTGCATGCTGCCTTAAAAAGTCATGCATATTTACTCATCGATCAATTAAAATAATTTCGTAGATTTTGTTAAGAATTTCTAGCATGGGATTTCTCTCGATTAGAGGTCTGTAGTGGAGGTACTTCTGTTTTCTTAACATTGTTGTGCAGCGTAGAGCAGTGCTTTGTTAGATCATTCTCTTCATCCCTGTACATCGATTGCATTTATATTCATTGCTTTGTTCCCATAAATTTTAAATCAACGGCTAATACATTAAATCAGCTTTGTTCCGTTTGCACTCATTCTAAATTTTAGTTAACTACTCTTGTGATTGAATGATAATATTTAAATTTACTCATTTAATAATATAATAAAGTTTTATACCTGACGCACAATATTAGTATTAGAATTATTAACAGAACGTTATTCAGTTCGATTGTGATTTCTTTAAACCTTTCACATGGATGTTAGATTTTTGAATAAAGAATTATTTTTTTCCATTCGATAAAAAATTATAAGATTGTTTAAGCCTTTGGTAGTTTATTAGTTGTAGTAGTAGGTCAAGAGCTATCCTTCCACTACACATAATTAGTAATTATTCGTTGCTTTAACTATCATATTCCTCATAAGAAATCTAAAGAGATAATAACAAAATTCATCCCATTGCATATAGTTAATTTAGATAAGAACTATCGTTTGTCTGGATAAACAAGCGCTAACAAAGTATTTAACAAGCTTTAAAGAAGTATATTCCTAAAAACCTTTTCCTTTAGGAAGGAAAGCTGGGCAATCACAGTGAAAATGCTTAATTATTTCATTTTTCTTTAAAAAACACTTCTACATCTCCAATGCGTAATTAAAGAAATGCTCAGCTTTTTTCTGTAGATTCCTATATATAAGTGACTAGTTGAAACTGCAGTGAGCCTTGCAATATTTACACGGTTCTTTTGAGTAAGTTGCCACTATCAGGTCTTGTTATATAAAGGTCAGTTCGACTGGGAAGTTACACATGAATTAAGTGCCTTTTATTCATTATTAGCTACTAGAAGAATAGTGGTAAGTGCAATTTTTCTAACGATTTTTAGAAGAAATATAGATCAGTACTGTTTGGGATATATCAAGGGAAGCGCTAAGCCGGGCCAAACCATTTGTTTTATCATTCCCTGTTTTCACAACTTCTGTTCAAAATAAACAGTCGAAAGATTCCGTTTGTAAAAAAGTAATCAACATCACTCTACAAATAACCCTTATCAGATATTCTAATGACTTATTAACTTGACCTCCTAAACCAAAGATAAAAGATTCCTTAGATATACATGACCTTCAAATCTTTCAAGCGCAACGTAACTGATTGACAAATATTAAATGAGAACTAAATTCATTTTAAATAGTTTCCATTTGTGTAGTAATTAGTTTCTGAATTCAGCTTACAGTTAATGAACAATTAATTGCAATAGCTTCAAGATATGTTAAAGCAAATATTTAAACAACGATTATGTTAGTGCTAAAACATTTTCTCTTAATCGCTGCAATCGTTTGCTCTTCAAACTTTTTTGCACTAACGTAAAGCTTAGATACTTTTGACTTGATTCTCGTACAACGATTTAAGCTGCTCTATTAAGTCTAATTATTAAGTTAAAAGCATAATTAAAAGCAGCTATGTGTACGGCTTCAACTATGTGGCGCGAGTATGTTCTGCACTTAGCATATTTACTGTATAGCAGTTTTGCTGAAGATTTAAGCTCTCACAGCAATTTAAAAAAGATCGAAGCAAGACGAATCTCAATTATTCGCTGTTAACTTGAGGCAAAACTTGGCTCAAAGAAATTGTATTGCTTCGCTTTGCTCGTTATTTTTTTAAGCCAACTATGTTGCTCATTATTATTGTTTGCTTTAGTGAATAACAACACGACTTAAACCAACTGTGTTGTTGCTTTAAGCATGTTTTGATGGTTTTGATGTGGTGTGAGTCAAGTTTGAGACTGTTTTGTTTTGGCTTGTTGCTTGCTTTGCTTGCTTTGCTCTTGAAGTCAAGATATTTTCGCTCCATAAGCCTGGCTCAATGTGTTTAGTTGCAAATGAGACATTGTACGGAATGGTTTTGTGCGGCTTTTCGTTCGACAATAACAGGTGTAGTAAGTGGCAGATACTTTAAGTGAATGTCGAACGTGTAATTCGAATAGTTGTCGGACACTAGCGGCGTTCTGTTTTCTTTGCTGAAATGACAGTCAACTTACAGAATCAACGGTTTACCTAACTCTGGGCGCTTTTTATGCTTAAGCGTATTACGAAACCGTAACGTGTTTCTTTTGATTTTGGAAATATTAATAATAAAATACCAAAAAAAAGAAAAAACAAAAAAAAAATATAATATAAATAATATCAAAAAAGATGAAAAAGGCAAAATTCAACAATCAATCATGACAAAAGGTTAATAGAGTTGTTTTTTATGGTCAGATTAAAGCTGTATAAAGTTCTACAAATTTTTAATATACATATTTTTTTGTTAAAATTTTTATAAAAATATTTATAAGGCGTCAATAAATTAAAATATTAAACTACATAACGGCACATCAACCCAATAAAGAACTTATAAGTTTATAATATATGTGTGTTCTTAAGCCTGTAAATATCTGAATGCCAACGATTGAGCTGTAAATTGAGCATAAATTTCGTTTACAATATTTTTGGTGAAAAGACAATATTTTTGTTAGTGTTAACTTTAGCATACTAAATAGATATTAAGAATATCTGCCTACTGAAGAAGTGTATAAGAATGGAGCATAAATTATGCTATTGCGCAGAAATAATATAAAAAATTTGCTTAACAAAAGTTAAAGTTCATTGAAGCCAGTTTTTTTTTTCACCACAAATATATTTTTATTATTGTATTTAAATTTAAATTTATATTATTATTATTATTACTGTTAAAGCATAAAAAAATATGTGCAAACTGGTTAACGACAAATGACCAAAAAGGCAGAAAGCAGCAACAATCTATAAAAATAACAACATGTGCGATTGTTTTTCAGTGTATGCGAGACTGTTAACTATTTTCAGTTGCGCAAAGTGTGCAAAGTGAGCAAAGTGTGCAAAGTGAGCAAAGTGTGCAAAGTGTGTGCATATCTACGTGAATATAAAACAACAATAAACAAAATCCCAATTTAAAGCAGCGCGAAAAGCGCTACCAACTTCACAAAAAATACACCCGAAAAAACATTGAAAACAAAATAATAAATTAAATTGTATAAAAAAATTAAAAAAAAAAAAAACAAAAACAAAAATAAAAAAGAGGAAGAATTTCAAGATAAAAAATTTTGTATTGAAAATTCGTACGGCGCTCAAGTTCGCTTTTAAGCCACGGTTAAAATGCTATGCATTGCACATTTGACTTTTAAGCCTTGCGAACGTGCGCCTTTTGCCATTTTTGTATCTTTTTGTATCTTCTGCTGCTCTTTTTGAAATGTTAATAAATTTTTTTTTTTTTGTGTGTTAAATTTCAATTAAGTGGCAGCAACAATAGCAAGAAAATTCGTATACGTAACGTTTTTAACAATTTCATTTAAAGTAGATAATGTGAAAAGAAATAATATCGTAAAAGAGAAAGGAGGCGAGAAAAAAACTGCCATAGAAATTAAAAATTCATCCGTGGCTTAAATAAAATATAAAAAGTACAAAAAAACACACAAAACATAAAAAAATAAAAACAAAAACAAAAACAAACAATAACAAACAAACAACAAACGTAGCAGACAGCAAACAACAACAACAACAAGCGACAGCAATGAATTCAACACAATTGTGTAGTACAGTGTAAGTATCTGAAATTTGTATCGCAGAACTAGTACGAATACGAGTACTAGTACGACTATCTTATGAATTAGTTAAATAGGCTGCACACGGCTGGCAGCAATTCAGCCAGTTGCCGTTTTGCTCAATTGTTCAACTGCCTTAATTTTTTTTGTTTGTTTGTTTGTTTGTTTTATGGCTAAAACTACTTGTATGTTTTGTTTTAATTTTTGCTTAATGCCATCTACCATCCGAAACAAACGTTAATAAATTTTAGTGGCATTTTTACATAATTTTAGTATGTGCCAATATTAAGTTTTAACCTGCTTGGTTTTACTTCACTTTGGTTTGGAAATAAAAAACGGTCTGTAAAGATTAACTTTAATTCTTATGCAATATAAACACGTTCCAACCCATTGTGCGGCACAATTCTGCTACACTATGTGAATTACCGTTCAACGAAAATGAAAACCTTTATATTTTGACCAATATATTCAAACCAATGTAATATATTTATCTTATCACTTACAAATTAATATTAAGTATACTTTTTGAGAATTTAAACGCTTAAAATTTGGAACTCCTAGAAAAGTCCAGAAACTAGAATATGTCAATCTATACGGATGGCTCGAAAATGAACTACGGAGCAGAAGCAGGCATCTTCGCGCCAACTGAAAATATAAACAATTCTCTTCTCTCCTAATGAAGCCACGGTTTTTCAGGCTGAAATCTTAGCAATTAGAAAAGCTTGCCGGCGAATTGTAAGTCACATCAAGAACTGATGTAATGTTGCCATTTTCATTCACAGCCAGGTAACAATCAAAGCCCTTGAATCCTTCACAACAAAATCAAAGCTAGTAAAAGAATGTAGAGAGACAATCGATTATTTAAATTGGTTGACTCGCATCACCCTTATAAGGGTTTCTGGACATTGGAACATCGAATGCAATAAGAAAGCTGACAGTTGAGCCCGCTCTGGTGCTTCCCCGGATGTGTCCTTAGCTGTATAAAAGGAAATGTCTAACATTTAGACTGGAAGTTCTAGTTTTGGATGATTTTTGTTTTTTTTTAGTACTTTCACGTACATTGATGATCAGTAAAAGAAATTAGTAATCAGCGTCTAAGTAGCGTATCGATGCTCTTTTGTTTCTACAATTTCTCTGCTCTTATGTACTGTGCGACACTGCTCTGCCTATTAATTTTTTGCAGTAAGTGGAAAACTTTAAAAGCTACAATATAGGACTTGAAACTATTGAAATAATCTCTTATGAATAATTGTGGAGGAACGCGGCCGCAACCCTATTTCATTAATCAAGTGCAGAGAGGAAAGCAGAAGGGCTTACTATTTAGCAAGCTAAATTTATCAAAGTCGAAGATGAATGTATTTAGTTAGGTGGCAAGGACTTATTTTTGTAAGAGGTGGATTTTTCCACTCTGTCTTATTATGGGAAGTTCCATTTACCTTAAAACAAAATATTTAGATGAAAATCTCAGTTTTAAATCTAACCTGCGCGTTTGATAAAGTAGATTATTTTTTGAAGATTTATGTTTAGGATGTTCACCCGGTTCGTTAGTTCGTTGACTTTAATAGTGAAAAGATTTGAAAGCCTAAAAATTTGCAAAAAGTTTGGGAATTGACGTACTCGTCTTATTTTTTTCTGTGACTGTTAAAAACATTAAATACGTTATTAAATAGTACAAAAATAATAAGTTATATTCCCTTAAATGGTGATACTTTTAATCTTTTTTATCTAAGTAATGAAATCGTTTTTTCAGAAATCAATCTAAAATAAAAAATATTGCGGATTACAATTAATTTTAAACTTCTTTTATCGAACAAAAATAATGTTTGAGAAATTAGAATTATCCGAAAACCAATATGTTTCTAATATGTGAGTGTTTACTACATTTACATTACGAACTTCACTGCCACGATATCGGTAAAACACTCGCAATGGTTATCACTAAGCTAATCATTGCTATGCTGGCTATCAAACCAAAATATCTAAAAAAAACAAGATAGATAAAGATGCTTTTAGAATATAGGAATTATTTAATCTAATTTAGACAACGTACCAGTCAGTTGCTTTAACTAAAATGCAACCTAATCAGCACAATAACATCGACACAGACTGGTCAGTGCATATGAGGGACATATGGAGTCTCTATCCCTTAATAACTTTTGTCATGAGTGTAACGCTGCAGAATAGGAAGAAGCTTTGTTTTATCATATGAGTCTTTGCCTATTTTTGACCAGAAAAAAATTCACCTTTTCTTACCTTGATCTTTTTCTCAGACCCCGTCATCTTCAAAATTAGAGGCATAGACAAGTTTATTGACTTGTCAGATTGGTTCACTTTTATTTAAATAAGAAAGTGATGCCTGCCTTTTCCGAGGCTTTTAGACAAAGCCCGTCTCTATATCTGTGTTGGTGGTCCTCTTAATCTGGTCTTAATCTGCAAGCAACTGTGATATTTGTGAGCTGTGATATCGCAATTCCCACTAGTTGTGCCCAAGTGGGCTTTAATATGCAAGCCTGCCTCTCCAACCTAATCTAACCAAACTTTATTTAGAGTTACATTTTGATGATTTTTATAATATAGAGAATTTATAAATGCTATATTTAAAATAAGTAGCAAATAATGCATTTACTTTTTAATGTGGATGTATTTTATATATTATTCCTTACTGGTAAATGTTAGTAAATAATAAAAGTTATCTGCAATTATTCCAATTGTAAAAACTCTTTTTTGCAACTAAAGTGTGTAGAACGCTAGATACAGTGAAAATTATTCTGAGTGTCGATTCAGCATCAAGTAACTTTTATTCATTTAAGTTGAATGTCTAATCAAAAAGAGTTAAGTTCTTCGAAATAATGATAAAATCAATGTTTTAGTTATAAATTGTACACCCAAAAGAATATCGCTGTCCTCTCAAAAGGGGTGTTCGTTACGAGAGTTTTCACAGTATATTGATGCTTATTTTTATTATTGAAAAGTTTTAACGTTTTCACAATCTCAGTTCCCAGTACTCTATACATTTTTATAATTTTGATGTAGCATGAAAATTTTACGATTTTCCGCAACTCTATGTTCTGGTATTTTTGTGGTTGTTTAATGGTGAATTTGTTATTGTTTTATTACTTTTTGTACTAAACGAAATAATTTCATAAATCTAATAAAAATTGATTTTAAGCTCTTGCTATATTTTTATTAGATTTCGTATATTAAATTCGTAAGCGGATTCGTAGGTGGATTATATTTAAAGTATTTTCTTTTTTTTTTTTTTGGTAGCACTAAACAATTTCACGTGCTGCTCGATAGCACAGCTCATTTTTATTGCGGTATGTTCAGTTTTTGTTGTATGGATTTTGTTGCAAGTATCTTGCGTGCTTTCCCCTTTTGCTATATGCTATTTGCTATTCGCTGTGTGCAATTTGTAAGTTGTAATTTTGTAATTCTTGTCTTTGATTTGAATTTTCTTGAATTATAAAATATTTTTGCGTTTCCAGTTATACACATATAGGTATATTTCATATATACATATATAAGTAAATGAATTGTTTAGTATTTTTTATTTTTTTTTTTTTGAATTTTTATAAGTTTTACACGTTCCGAAGTACACAAGTACGAGTTTATTTAACTTACTACATTTTTATATTTTTGTATATCATTCACTTCTGTCTTCAGTCCATTTTTATTTATTTTATGTTGCTTGAAAATGAGTGTGTTTGGAATTTTAAATGAATTCGTGATTTTTTTCACATTTTCCAAACTTCAAATTGTGGTGTGGTTTGTAATTTTTAATGGTTTGCTGCTCGTGCGGCGCAAAAATGAATCAAGTCAAAAAGTTGGACTTCGCCGTACAAATTGTACACAAATACACAAAAGTACAAAAGTACAAACCATTCTGATTCTGATTCCGATTCCGGAGAAAAACTTTATTTTTTCAGTTTGAAATTTTAAACAGAATACTTAATTCTTGCAGCAATGTAATAAACCAAAGATGTGACCTAATTATAAACCATAAAACCCAAATACATAAATACGAATGTAAGAAAGTACAAGTTGGTGCGTAGTTGAAGCTCATGGATCTCGAGCAAGTGCTTCAAACTGGAACTACTTTCCTTTGTTGTTAACAATCATAATTTACTTTATTCTCATTAAGTAAATATGCGTAAACATAAGCACATACAATAAATTAAATGTAATTACAATAGTAAAAACATATTCACATCGTAGTTGTAACAAAAAAAAATAAAGTTTTTAAAATTGTTACAAAATAGTTAAAGATTTTATCATTTGTTAACTTTGTTAGCTTGTTAGCATATGAAGTTTAAACATACATTTGTATACCAGAGGACTGGCATTTGCCACATCTCTGTGAGAGATGAGGACAATGTTTATTTTCAATGCCTCGTCATTGTCGTTGTACGTACAAATATAATATTTAACCCTTTTGTAACGCATTAAACAGTTTGTTCTGTATTTAGCTACTTAGTAAAAAAAGGGAAGAATCAACAATATACAGATATCTTTACGTTAGTTGATACTTCTTAAATTAGAAAAATCACGTTATCTCACTAAAATGCCTCGTAAAGAAGTCAAACATATAGTGAGAATGCAGGTATGTCACTGTTGGAAGATTTTTTCATTAAGAATGAAAAAATGTGTGTCAGAGCTGACTTATCACTATGCGAACAAAGATTAAACATGTTAGTAAAATACCTTTTAAAGAATATTAGTCGAATTCAGGACGTTTCTTTACACACTCCTGGGAGTACGAATAAGAGTTACTCTTACTCGTAAGGTTTCTTAAAAGCTTCAAATAGTTTTTAAACCTTCGAGTCTTGTATGGCAATATAAAGGATCTAAAATGATTTTTGGATCGGTATCACAGTCTAGCTTCAAGTGTTAAGTATCCTCAAAGTTTTGTTAAAGACTTCAGATGGTTTTAAACTCTTCGCAATTTGCACACAAATACAAAAGGCCTAATTAGATTTTTGGGTGATATTATTCAAAATT